AATGTTTATTAGCAAAAGTAAAAATATACCATAAATTATTTTTGACAATTCAATATAGACTACTGATTAACTCGAGTAGGTACCACACAATTAGACTGATAAAACCTTGTACATTCAAAATAAAAGTTTAAACATTCATACAATTAAACAATAGTTAGAAAAAAGACAGACGATTTCTATTAATATATGCACATTAAGATTGTGTACCTAGGAATGTGAAACTAGATTTGAATTGTGTTTATTTTCAAATAAATCAATGTCTTCCAAAACTGCCTGATTATTGAGAGTCAAAATTAGTTTTTTGAAAAATGTACTTAGGATTGAGTAGGATTTCATTAAAAAACATGATATTTTGGTAAAGTAATAGTAAAATGTCTTTATTTTATGAATATTCAACATTGATCCTAAGAAGATGAAGAATAGCTAGATTTCTTAATCTTCTCAGTTTACAACTTATTTGCACATTACAAAACTATATACCAAAAACATAATATAATGATGGTTGTTCTTGTTCAAATATTTCTTGAAGATCATAATTTGGCTCAATTTAAAAAGTTGTTCATAACAGATGTATTCTTCATCTACAAATGAGTCTTCTTTCAGTTGTTACACAGGAAGAAATTGCTAAATATTTTCTATTCATGAAAATACCCCTATGGGTATTACTGCCACCACCTCCATCAATATTCTCGTTTTCAAAGATTACACAAGTTTGTTAATTGTATTAACTTTAGATTGCCAGTGTACATTTTCAAAACTCTTGCATATCTCCCTACTTTCTACTTCTATAGCAATCGATGGTCTAGCTATGGTTTTTTTAGTCCGTCGACTCAATATTGTAAAAAGGATGTTGACATATGGTGGCTATAAAAGATGTTTTTGTTACTTTTGTGATTCCTGTGTATGTCTAACGTACAAAATCAATGTACCTGGATCAGTGGTACTTTTGCTTTTCAGAAATTTCTATTTATCTGAAATTGTTACAAGGTTTACTGTACCAAATAAAAAAATTAAATATTACAGGTCATTTTCTAACCCTTCCTGATATACTATTTAGCAGTGGGGGCTATTTTCTCAGCTGAGGACTACCTCTACTTTCAGGTGTGTAGATGAGCCACAGGTAGTAAACCTGAAATAAATAAAAACAATTATTGTAATATAAATGTTCCGAAAAGTAAATAATATTACTTACATGTTTATTTATATTATTTCGTTTGATTTTAATACTGGTCCCATCTATTGAATTAAATGCTTCAATTTTCTAAGTATTTGCCTCCTACAAAGAATTGGTTCATACCTTTTTACATAAGAGCAATAACATTTTCCTGAAAATGCTGAGAAGATACGTAACGAAGCTAAAAATAATTTCTAAACAATTTGATTAATGGTTTGTAACCACTGTTCATGTTAAGTGCTTGAGATTCGTAGGAGACCTAAAAAATAAAAAGCTTTAGAATATAACAAAAGGAACATAAATAAAGTAGTTACTACTTACAAATGGAAAGATTTAACATAAAATCACCAAGTAAAGCAAGGTTTTCAAGATATTCATTATTTGTTAATGGTTTTGTAAAGTATAGGTTCGTAAATAATATCTTTGGGGACTGACTTTGGGTAAATATTATAACATAACCACTAAAACATGACTAAAACTATTGCGCCAAGATGTAGCCAATACGTAATAAAGGTTCAAAATGGCGGAGTTTTCTATCTCCTTTTAAAAGGCACTCAGAAAGCTGCGCAGTGCGACCTTTCTCCGTATAGTAAGAGAAAGTCAAAGTATGTGGTCATGGCCCGTAAATGTCACGATGCGTTTAACAACTTCAACTCAGATTTTGGACTTCAACGTAAACATTATATTTCTGCGTTGACGTTCACGTTTACGTTAACGTACTGGAAATACTTCAACTCTCTATTCATCGATAATCTATATACGTTAACGTAAACGATGATCGTCATCTTGGATTGCTTAGCCGAGTCGCAAACTTAACCGAGTTTCAATTGTCCACCACTGACAGGTGGCGCCATCTAACGGTGACTTTCGAAGTAATGGGCCCATACGAACATAGTCTATCTCTATTACTGAACAACCAAATTGTGATGCATGAATAATTGGGCCTATTAGTTGTTGCATGAAGAACTGAATATCAATAATATTACGGTTTTAGAGATGTATTTCGGTGTATTAATTTTTTTCACGATTACCTGCTCGTTTTCAACTGTCAGAAAATAATAATAATAACAAATTTATTAATTATCCAATGTATAAAAAATGTTAAATGATATATCTGATAGTTTTATCTTTGAATTGGAGTCCAATATATTCTCGAGATTTCTAAAAGGTATTTTTTGAGATTCTTTCTTAAGTAGGGTAAAAAATAATCATAGAATGTGTGATATTTATAATAAAAAAACTGGCCAAGTGCAAGTCGGCCTCGCGCATGAAGGGTTCCGCACCATCGTACAAGATTTAATACTATGTAGTTACATTTTAAATACTCTATTAAAATTGAGCAAAAAAAGTTAAAAAAACTTGTTTCTAGTAGGGGATCCTTGAAATTCTTGACAAAAATCATGCACTATAAATAAAGCCTATTAATTTAAAAAAAAACTGAATAAAATAAAAAAATAAATAAAAAATCAAGAGCAATATCAACATGAAATGTTTAGTATAAATCAAGCTCTATGCGTTCATGGTAGGGAAGAAAAAGCGATACTAGCGCTAGCTGCGAATAAATCGTGCATTTTAGAGCGATATTTTGTAATTTTGGCGTATCAACTACACGTATACATTTTACTTTAAAAAAAAAAAAAAAAAATAGATAAAAACAACAAAGTTGCTGTGTTGTAAATTGTAAAAATACTAGCAAAAAATACAGTGTAAATTATAAAAATTTTCAGTAGCAAAGTGGAAATGAAATCAAAGAAATAAATGGATAGATGTACAATAAGAAGAAAAATTACCTTTATTTTTGTAATAATAACAGTAATATTGGAAATAGCAGTAGACATCAGAAACTTGAAAGGTTTTAAATAAACAATAAATTATCATTTTACAATGTTCTTCAACATCCCTTTAATCTTAAATGTTAACAATAACTAGATTTCTGCCTTAGATTATTATATGTGGCTGGAATGAAATTTTGTGACTTACTGATAGGAAACCAGTTTTAATGATTCATTCTATGTTTTCTTTCGAACAAAAATGAAAATATAAATAACAATCCTCCTGTTTATACATTTTAACTTCACGCTATTATTTAATGGTATTTTTTCATTTTGACAGAATAGGTTAATTCTTTTAAGACACCTTATTAGACTTTTCATACATTTTTCCGTAAATACTATTGCCTGCCTATATTTTATTATTGATTTTGATTGATTACTCTTAGTTTTTTTTTAGTTTAAGTGATAAAAATATTTAATAATAATAATAAAAAATTAATGTTTCACTTGTTTTACAAATTCTTTAATTATGAATTCTATTAAAAATTGTATTATCAATATACGTAGTACATAAATAAATTGGTGCTGCTGTCACGCACGGAGCGAATAAGGGAATGAATAAATAAATGAAAAATAATAGGTAAGGTGGGTAGAAATATTAAAAAAATCCTAACTCAGAAACCAAAAAACGATATTACTTTGTAATCTTAAGAAAAATCATTCTTTATAAGATTTTGATTTTTTTTTTATTGAAAATGGGGGTTAAGGGGGTTTGTTAAACTGCGAAGAGTATAATATAGAATGTCAAGCAATATATATTTTCATTTTGTATATCAAATAAAAATTACTTACTATCTGGTAAATCGCATTCCCTACATATATTTCTTTTTTTCATTGTTTTGTAATCTTCTATAATAAATCGCCATAGGCAAGGAAGTTTCTTTACACTTTCTATATGTTCCATGTTTCTATTAAGCTGACCTATAATCTAACCTCAACAAAACATCCACTGTAATAATATACTACAAAGTGCATCTACAAAGTTCTATAAACATAGAATACGGAAGAGGTGTTGGAAATGTGTCTTCCGATAGAGCTAAAATATTGCTCAGAATGCTTATTTGAAAGATGTAAGCTATATCTTATAGCTTGCTTGTAATATAGTTGGTTTATTATATTGGTAAGCAATATTTTTTTAATATATTAGCTATAATAGTATATTATGCAACATCATGTATTAATAGCCATTACATGAGAGTTGCATACACTATTTTTCTACGACCAAGAAATTATTTCAATTCAACAACATAGCTTTATTATTTAATTTTTTAAAACCTTTTTATACAAACAATAAGAAATAAAATATGGAAGAAAAATAAGTTCTTTGACTTAATTTTTATTCCTACACAATAAGCAATATAATAATTATGATGATACATTTTTCGCCTTTTCAGAGATTTCAGGTGGTATGCATGAAAACTCTGTCACTCGACATTTTTTTAAAAATAAGTGAGAGGTACCTATCTACCTTTTTAACTAACGCAAAAGATTGAAACTGTCATAAAACACGATTCTCTTAGAAACTATCAAACATTCTACAAAAAATATTGAGTCTGCCTACTTGGTTATTTAAAAATCTATATTTTAATTGGTCAATTTTTCAGTTTCATAATAAAAACCAGTGTTATAATGTGTAACATTATGAAACTGAAGTTTAGCATTTAATTAACAACTTATAGTATAGGTGTAGAAAAAACATCTTATAGCATCGTTAGTAATGTAATGTCATCTTAAACCGTTTATAGTAATGTCACCGTTAATATAAAAGCTTCACTGTGTACATACAGACCTGCTACGACGATTGCGTACATAGAGAAAGTTAAGTGCCAAAATGGTTATTACCTGATTACTTTAAGATTGTAAAATCTAAATGTCACTACTGATTTACCCAAAAGCCACGTGTTATTTTATAATGCACGCTGGATTTTTCTATGTTCACGATAGCCGTAGCATAGATCTTAGAGCTATAAGCAGCACCCGTTCGATAGACTTACCCCTACGAAATTATTTATATTAGCGTCATACAAATTGTACGCAGTCAATCGAGGGATGTCCTGAGAACGTTGGATTACGAACATAAGATCTTTGGTCATTTCATTATTGGCATATTCTTTCCAGTTGCTGTTAAAAATAAATTCTGGGAGAAGAGATGCCTAAAATTCAATTAAAATAGGTAAATATTATATGGAGCTTCCTCTTTTTAACAATGCGATAGTCATTTGAATGATCTAAATTCATAGGTGTTGACTTTTTATATACATTAATTTAATGATATGACAATAAACAAGTGTTTATCTATACAACTTATGAGGGAAAATAATCTCAGAATATATTTGGTGTTTGTTCAAAACTGCATTCTTCTAACTCACGGAATTATGACCCAATCAACGTCCTTATTTTGGTCTGCTAATTTCTCATAGAGATTCTGGTATTTATGAAGCGCCGTACTTAGTGTATTTTACGTTCAAAAATATCTTGTGCTCTGCGACAAGGAGAAAAAGAAACCGAAAACTTGTTGATGTTAGACGTGTAAACTTATTAAATTTGCGACTTTATTTATTCGCAACAATTTATACAGGGTGAGTCATAAGTAATAGGTCAAATTGTAACTGTAGATTCGGAAGGCAAAAATAAAAATATTTTACTTAACAACAATGGGTCTGAGATCGCTCCTTTCTGATCAACAGGCTGTTAAAGTTAAAAAAAAAATATGTTTTTGTTAATAAAGAAGCCATTTTTTAAATTACACGTTTGAAAATAATTCTATTTTTTATAGGGACAAACAAGATTATGTTATTAGATTTGAGTTATCTCATATATGTCGCCACATATGCCATATTGAAGAGAAGAAAACAGCTTAAATTTTTTGTCCCTCATTAATTAACAATTTACGTATTAAATTTAGAAAGGCTTACGAGTCTTTTTTGTATAAAAAGTTATACTTCTTTGATCTTTAAACCGTTTTCGAGATATTTGAAAGTTTTTAATTCACCACCTGGTCGCCGGGTAATAGTAACCACAAAATGTAATATTCCCCTAATTGAAATCAATTCATAAAAAACGTTTAAATGATAATTAATATCGTATTCTCATATCTCTATGTAAGCCAAAAATAGTGTACAGGGTGTTTTAAAACGTTGGTCGTTCCTAAAATTAATTTTATTTTGAGATAGTTTGTATTTATTTTATGGAATATTAGATTGTAATGAAACAAAAATTAGGAAACAATAATACAAAATTATTTGTTTATTTTAACGAAACGTATGCTGCTTAACATATTAATAATAACGGTAACAAATCTGGTATTTAAATACAAAAAGGCAGATTGCGATAATTATAGCATTTACTGGATAGGTACCTAAAATTTAATGTGTTAAAGCACAAGTTTGCCATGGAATTTTGACAGCAGCACAATGTTGAGTAAAAATCTGATGTTTCTGAAACAATTTGTTTGTTGTTTTTGTTATCGAATGATTCGAGTTAATTTGATATATTAGTGAAAATGCCGAGACATAATATCTATTCAAATGAAGAAATGAGAGATATGATTTGCTGTTACGCAAGAGAAACATTTTCTGGGCATTCAGCGTCTAGAAAATATCGCGAATTATACCCAAACCGAAGGCAACCAAACCACAAGATATTTCAAAATATTTATAACTGATTGGGTGAAACAGGCTCGTTTCACCCAAAATACCATACAGGGCGTCCCAAAATTATTAACCCACAGCAGGAAGACGAAGTAACAGAAAATCGTGTCGATTATCTGCAACTACCGGAATAAGGCAATCATCCGTGATTAGAATTTTGTACAAGGATAATTTGTTTCGATATCATTTTACACCTGTGCAAAATTTGCTTCAAAGAGATTATCCTGCAAGAGTTGAGTTTTGTCAGTGGCTAAGGAGGAAACAGAATAATAACCGAACATTTATGAATAAAATTCTTTTAACTGATGAAGCAAAATTCACCAGACGGAGTTTTTATTTGGCGAAATAGTCATACCTGGGAAACTGAAAACCCTCATGTAAATAAAGAAAGACATTTCCAGTACGAATTTAAAATAAATGTCTGGTACGGTTTAATGGGAGATACATTGCTGGGTCCATTTGAATTACCTCCCAATTTAAATTTTTTAACCATATTTAAACCATATTTAAATTTTTTAACCAACGACAAACGATAATTTGGATGATCTTCCATTACAATCAAGAAGAAAAATGTGGTTCATGCAGGAGGTGCACTTCCTCATTTTCCACTGGTTGTACGTGATTACCTGAATCAAACTTTCTCTCACCGTTGGATTGGTCATGGTAGTGAATTTCAATGGCCACCTCTCAGCTCAGACCTTAATCCACTGGCTTTTTATGTGTGGGGTTCCATGAAAGCTATTGTTTATTCTCAGTCTACAAATTCCAGAGACGAGTTATGGAATAGAATTGTAGATGCGGCTGATTCAATTAGAAATAATAACGCCACATTTTTTTAAGATCAGACGATTCTTAAGTAAACGGGTACAGAGGTGTATAAGAGTTGGTGGTGGCCATGTTGAAAATCTTTTGTAGTATTTGGTATTTTAAATTGAATGTTAACAATATCAAGATTATGTGGGATGTATGTTTTAGGTAAATTCGTTTTAGTTAAGTAATGTTGTTGTTATGGTTCTTGTTCAAGTGTTTTATAATTTTGTCTTTATTTTTAGGTTCAAATACCAGAATTTGTTATATTTATTATTGGTCTGTTAAGCAGCATACGCTTCGTTAAAATAAACAAATAATTTTGTATTATTGTTTCCTAATTTTTGTTTCATTACAATCTAATATTTTCATCAGAAAATAATAATTATTAAAACAGATCTATTGAATCATTTTAAAAAAGAATAATTATAAAATAATAATAATAAAAATAATTATAATCGATTAAAAACATTGAAATTAAAGGGTAAATATATAAAAATTAAATATTAAAAACTAAATACATTTATTTAAATGAATATCACTTTTTTTTTATACTAAGAATTGCATAGGATCGACTACGGCGTGAACTTCATGCCTATTCATTTGCAACATGTGTCTTTTTATTTTATTTTTAAAAATATTTACGGATTTTGTTTCTCTTATATATACCGGCAGATAATTAAATAGTCTAGAAGAGTTATGTACAAATCCCTTTTGGCTTATTGTTTTTAAAAAGTAGTCTACATGAACGAGATTATTAGTATTTGCCCTAGTTTTATATTGATGATCTATAGGTTTCGATACACATTTTTATAAAATAAAGTTGCCTTACATCTAGAAAACCAGATTCTTGAAATAGATTATCCGAGGAGTACACTTGAGGCTTACCTAAAATAATTTTAATAAAAGTTTTTTGTATTATATCTATTTTTTAATATAGCAAGTCGCAGCTGCACCCCATCCAATTATTCCGTACGAAAGTCTAGATTCTATCAATGCGTGGTACATTATTTTCAACTGTGGCAATTCTAAAATACTCTTTAGCAATCTGAATTTGTACATAAAACTTCTTAAAGTATTTGTAACTTTTCCAATGTGAACATCCCATCTCATATGACAGTCTAAATAAATACCCAGATATTTGACAGATTTGGAAGATCGTATTCGGATTTCGGTACCATGATTATTGATGCTCAAGAGATTGTATGCAGGTATAGTATATTACATTACGAGTGTGGAAAGTGACATTTTTCACACGAGTGGGAAATATTGTCGCACGAGGCGTAAGCCGAGTGCGACTATCACACGAGTGTGGAAAATCACTTTTCACACAAGTGATGTACAATATTTTTCCTACGACCACAAAATAATTTCATCAAAAAATGTAAAACCAGATTATTATAATAATTAAAATGTATTTAAAAAAATAATCAACAATAATCGTATTTATTAAATTTTCATAATTTCTAAACAAATAAAAAAAAATAAAAAAAAAATTCTGGCACAGCCAGGATTCGATCGCGGTCGTTGGACGGTCTCAAATTGCAAAGTTGATGCTCTAACCAACTGAGCTAACAGGCCTTACGGTAATTGATTGATCTAATCGCTTATGTGTTTAACCAGAATAAAAAGCAAATATATCTTAGTTATTTTAAAATTATTTTAAAAATAATTGTTAAAGATAAATATCTAGGATCTAATTTACAATAATTTAACAATCATATCGATTTTAGTATTAATATGGACATTACATAGATCAAAATAGAAATTATGTGTTTGACATTTTCTGACAGCTACTGCGGAAAGTAGCATATTCTCACTTGGGTGGAAAGTAAATTCTTATTCATACGCGTGTGATATAGGGCACTTTCCATAGGTCTATATAGTGTGATATGTGTCACTTTCCTAAGTGGTCGTAGGAAAAAGTATTTTCGTAACATGCAAATGGCAAAAAGTTGTTTTCAAAAAGTTGATGGTAAGTAATTTCTGATTGAAGCAGTCAATTAATTTATTAACATCAAGTTCTACCGAATTTTTTAGATCCTTCCAACTAGACGATTCATATAGTAGATCACAGTGTCATCTGCGAAACTAATTATTGTTCCTGATGATGGTAAGTGCAAGATGTCATTTAAATAAATTGTAAAAAGTACTGGACCCAATACAGTTCCCTGTGGTACTCCGTACTCAATTATTGTTTTATTACTGAAAGTATTGTGATGTTTGTTTATTTTCAAACAACAGTTTATTTGTAAATAATTTATTTAAACACTTATTTATTTATAACACTATTATTTTAATTTATATATACTTCGAATGTCTTTAAACTGATCACTATTTATATTCACCACTGTCTATCTACTAATTACTATTTATCTTCACTGTCCATATACTAACTGATGATGATGGCTCATCCACCAATATTTATATACAAATTGGTGGTCTAGAATGCTCCCCCACCAAAATTGCCAGTATGTACCAGAAACGTTATCACGTTCTAGAAATAGTATCTCGTTGACCCTGGAATGTTCGCGAAAGTGTCTCCACCATAGTCGTCCCATAGGTTTGGTCTTAAGGGGTTTAATTATGTATAATAATCGGACAAGTTGAGCCTCAAAAGCCAAATAAGACAGAGAGGGACTTGTAGGGTTAGAGCATGACTGAATAATGAAATGGCTCACATAACAGTATTAATA